ACAAAGTTTTGGGTATTCTGAAAAAAACTTACAATTCTTCTAGCCTTCTAACAAAAGAGAACTTTATTCACACATTCCAGAACATGGGGTGTAATTTTGCTCTTAAATTTTTTTTCCCCTGCAAAATCTGTGGAAATGATGTTCTTTCTTTTAATGCTGTCTTAGTCCATACACCATTGCAGTGGAGGACAGTACGTGTAATGCGAGACAGGAGGGGACGTTTGGCCTGAGGAGGACAAAACTCTTCACAGAATTCCACTTCCCCAGGAAATTGAAAGCATCTGTAATATCTATGTGCAGTGAAGAAACCATTCAGCAGGTTGCCTTTTGTGCTTTGCCAGCCCACCCAGAAAACTACACATTAGTATCTGGCTTCTGGCTTGGAATGATGATATATAAAACTGAATTGCCTTGACAGGCTTTTGAGCTTGCAGCTCTAGGCAGTGAGAACATCTCAGCCAAGTGTTGCAATCATCTATCCATCCCTGATTCTGAGTCTTAGCAGTCAAACAGAGCATAGTATCACTGGAAAAATGCCCTGAAGAGGAGACCTGCCAGTGTGTATCTGGATCGTTCTGGTGTGCCCATTGGTCTGTGAAACAGCATGGATCTGCTAGGGGGAACTCTCAGTGAGACTAGGCAGAGGTATCCACTAGGCACCTGAACATTTTATCACGACTTGAATTAGAACCAGCAAATTATGAAACAAGAAATTCAGAGATACTTGTCAGCCTGCGACTGTTGAAATGGAATAAATTTGTAATTGTGATTTAATCTTTGAAGCCTTCCTGGTACATCTGTAAGTTCAAAAGGTGAGGAATTAAATCAGTTTAGTGATCAGATTCAGTTGCACAGTACTATGGAAATTTCCGACAGTAAAGATTAAGGTGAATTTGCCCACAACTAAACCTCTTGCTATGGCAGATTTTAATCTTCTGTTTTTCTGCAGTATGATTTGAAGAACCGTCGAACCTTTTTGAAGCGCACCAGGTACGAGAGCTTACACCTCGAGGATTTATATGTGGGCAACAAAATCACCGTTTTTTCACGACATCTCTCCTTAGTGGACTATGGGAATCAATATACAGCTCGCAAGCTTGGGAGCCGCAAAGAGAGGTAAGAAGAGATGGTTTTGAAATCTTTCTTTGTGGTTGGAGTTTCAGAGAAGTTGTTTGCTAGAAATGAGGTAGGTTTTGTACACTAATAGTGGGGAGGGGAGGAGATAGCTACAAATTTACGGGCAGTTTGAAGTGATTTGATACTGATAGCTGGAGAGGAGCAAAGTGGTCCCTGCTCATGGGCAAACCCATGACTCCCATAGTTACCTGGTTGTTATCTTCAAGGCCATCTTCTCCATTGTGTCAAGTGCTGGCTCCTCTAAGTTTCTTGGGAGAAGATAAGGGAAGGATGAAAACAAGAGGACCTGTTTAGCTTTGTTGCTCCCCACCCAGGGCAGGCAGCAAGGAGGATTCTTGTGATTTGTGGGTTCTCTTGGGGCAGAAGTGATACAGTAACTCTCATATGTGCTGGACCTGGAAGGCCTGGACCTTGTGAAACTAGCACCTGTCTCTCTGGGATCTGTGTAGAAGCCTAGAGCCTTACCATTCTGATCTGCTCTGTGTTAGTAGTAGTAACTGAAAACAGCAGAAACAGGAGTGAGAGAGATCCACTCCTCTTCTCTGTTGGTTTTCCCACTATGGAGGATTTTTTCTGAGAATTTTTTTCAACATCCCTTAAGCTCTGTGTGCATGACAGAAAGTATAGAGTGAGAATGTCAATCAAAACTGGTCTTGTTTGTTAAGACAAAGTTTGTTTATAGTGGATGAAGATAAGACTCATCATATATTTTTGGTTGAAAGATTTGCCTTGGAAAATGCTGTAAGACCCCATCCAAGAATAAAAATATCAGGAGACACTTAGTAAAGTGACAGCAAGATTAATTTACAACAAATTTAAATCCAGTTTCACTGCAGTGTAGGTAATCTCTGAATTTGCAAATCAATACATTTTGATAATTTGCTCCAGCTTTTTTTTGAAAAGAACACAGAGCATTTACTCAGGTATGATATACCAGTGAGCCTTATTCACCTGCTTTCTTGGTCCCTTCCACTAACTAGGCTTATTTTGAACTCTTTTTGGACAGTTGTGCATAACCAAACAAAGAGGAAGAGTTGCAAGTTTTAACACACATATTTGTCTTAAGCACACAAAAATATTGGTGTGAAAATGTCTGTCTGGTACTTTTTCTCCAGGTTGGGGTTGGGCATGATGGAAAGGTAGCAAAGGAGGTGGAGAATGCCAAGGGATGGATCCTGTAGATGTAGCTACTCTTTTTGTTCTTCAGTGGAGCCTTGGGTAGATTACATCTTTGTATCAATGTACTTTTATAGCTGTGTCTTTCCTGCTCTGCCTAAACTAACTTAAGGCCTGGTGCTGATGCAGTGCTCATGCAGTTATACCAAGAAAAGGCAGCTTGTGTTAAAATTTTCTTCTTGTCAGAGACGTTGCTGTTCTGTCAATGAAGTGGTCTTGGGAGGGGGTGAATTTTTGTACTGCTCTACAAAAGGAAGAAAGGGCATTTCTGACATTTCAGCTGTTTGGAAAGCATTTTAGGAATGTGGTCTGAAAGATAACATAGATATGCAAGTGGTGTTACATATTCAGAATAGCCCAAAGGAAGAGAGTGAAAGGTGCCTTACACAGGCCAGAGATCCTCAAAATCCAGTTTCTTCACCTAAGCTTTCACTGAGTAAACAGTCATATCAAAAGAGTTTCCTTGGGTAAAACAGTTGCATATGAGTTATTTGTCTTTTTTGGCCCTTTCCTAGCAGGTTTTACAGCAATTATTAATTAATAGATATAATAAGATTTCTGCAGTGCATGGTAATTCCTAAAATAGTCTGTAGCTGGAATTCTGTTAAGAATTTTTAGGATGTTGTATGAGGCAGAATGTTTACCTGTCATTTTCTTGCCTTTGTGCTGCACAGGACAGTTTAGTTGACTTTGGAAGTACATTCTTTGGTCACTGAATGTGTATGCAGACAGGATCAGCAGAGGTCTTTGAGGGAGACTGAGGAATGTATGTAAAAAAGTCTTGAATGTTTCGAATTAGGGACCTTTATTTTTGTCGATGAAGCAAGGGAATGTGACTCAAGGTACACGAGGTACAAAATAGATGTGTAAAAAAAGACTAGATTTGCACAGGCCCTTTCTGGAATCAGGCTAGAATTATTAAGACAGTTCTATGTGATTTCATTTTCTAGACCTATTTTTCTTAAGTCTTGGGTAGGTTTTTAAATGCAGACATATTTTGAGTGTTGTTCTCTGCTCCCCTCACAGTGTATCATAAGGAAACCATCACAAACAGTGACTAAAATGGTTAAGTGAGTATGTGCTAGCTTACAGTGTGACACATAAGGAATCACTGGCATGGGAGAGGGATTTCAGATTCTGTAGCCTTTCACTTATAATCCTGGGTGGTTGTAACCTGAAGTAAACATTTGTCTGACTAGTGTGTTCTGTCTAAGTAGGCTATACATAGAGTCAGTATCACTGGTTTTGAAAATAGTGTTAGAAAACTTGTGTCTCAACCAGGAATACTTGTATTCTGCTTTGATTGGGATATTTTAAGCTTCTAGTCATTGACATAACCAGTGTTTCTTCCCCTACAAGATATAAGCTACTCTACATGCAACAGTTCTATTATTAGAAGTAAGTAGATCTCAAAAGTATAGTCACAGCATGCTTTCTGCATCATTCCTTTGATCAGTTCTCATCTTCTGTTGTTTCAATACTCATTGCAGTACTGTCACACAGTGCTTCTGAAAATGTAAGCAAATGACCTTAATTTTCATTCTTTTTTCTCTGTTCCTAGACATAAAACCATTTCAAAATCTACTTTTCAGACGGCATCCTGTCAAACCACAAAAAACATATTCCTAATTGAAACTAAAAATAGGGCACATGACTCAAAATCCAATCTGAGAAAGTGAAGACTTCCTTCAACATGCTGAATTATACTTTTCGTATCCTGCATACCTCTGAGAAGCTCACACTGAAACGTTTAAGTTTATACATCAGTGTTAGAGGAAAAGATGTTATAAGAGTTGATCATTGCAGTTTGTATTAATGTCTTCTATGTCAGTTGCTTCCTAATGCAATATTTCATTGCATATTGGTAGGAATTACAGTATTACTAGAAAGCTTAAAATTAGAGAAGTAAGGGACAATTCATTTCTAGCATTAGCAGTCTGTCTCGAATAGTCTGTGCAATAACACAGATTCAAAAGGGTGTTCCTCAAGGAAATGCAGACAGCACTGGAGATCTCATTCCAATGGTTTGATCCTTATTGTTCATGGGAAATGGCAGCCTTAAGAGCCTCTTATGCCAGGATGCAGGTCATGCATTGTGTGACCGAGTCGGTACATGTCATCGGTCAAGCATGCAGCTGCTCCCCCTCATATGCCTCAATTCACCCAGCACACCCTGTCATATGAGAAATGATATCATAAAATGAGGTGGAGCTGGGAAATCCTTGGGGAAGGTGGAGAGAGGCTGTAAGAGGCAGCATGGATTATACTGGCAAACTATGCTGAATGTTGGATTTCCTGATCTGAAGATAGTGCTAAACCAACTTTAATTGGCACTGCAGTGGACTGAAGCATAGTCTTGGTTGACTACTTTCATGCAGTTTCTGGCTACGCTCATAGTCCATCAGTCTTTTTGTATTGCACTTCCCAATGGATGTGGGCTAATGTGGCTCTTGTATATGAGTTTCATGATGCTTGAGGAGATCTGTTTGTTTCTGAGCTCTGAAGGCCATGTAAGTCTCTCCCTTAGTTTCAGATGAAATGTCACATATGGTCACATCTTCCTTGTTACATTTCCTGGTCTTAACACCTCCTTTGCTTTACATTTGCTGTGAAATAGTCTGTCTCTTGCCAAAGCATCTGTCAATCTGGGGTCATTTAAGGTTCAGAGTAAATGTAGTGAAAGTTCATCCATCTCCTGTAACCTCAGCATATTTGCCCCGGCTAGAACATATTCCTTCTAACCTAAAGGCCTTCCACGTTATGCTGGTATATAAAATTGGAAATTTGCAATTATTTGTCTTTAATTTAGGGAAGTACTTCAACCAAAAATTCCATCTTGGATAGCCTTCAGATGGAAAGAGCTCTTTAGATTGTGTGAGATGTGGAGTTTCTGAGATACAGGGTTGAATAAATCTGTTGGTTTGTAAACGGAGCACATTGAAGCTGACTTGCCACAAGATGAATGCAAATAGAAAAATGCAGTTTTATAGACCTTCTTTTGGTGCTTGTTATGTATGATTAATAATATGTTTAGTGCTGATGGTGTGCTTGGTGCTATGCAAAGCGCACTAATAAAACAGTCCTGGCCTTGGGGCCAGGTACAGTATAAATAGATAATTACCCAGCAGACAGGTTGTACTTGGAAACAAAGATGTGGGGGAGAGCATAGAGATTTTTGGATTGGTGTCCCTTACAATATAGCTGTCAGTCAGTATAAAAGGTATAATACCTCTTGTGCCATCCTTTTATTGTGTCTATTAACAGTGTCAGCTGTTTGGCATGCACATTGCATACCATGAAGTGTTTGTACTGCACCAAGCACAGTAGGATCTTCTCACTGAGGACTCCAGATGCTTTAAAAGTAATACCAAAGCAGTCATTTCACTCTGATCTTTGTGGAAGAAGCACATGTTTAAGTAATACTTTTAAACAGAGAATTTTAACTGCTCAGTTTTAGGGACCTGAGGAAGCACAGGAAGACATTAACAAATCAATTGTGTTCTGACCCAGAGCTGTGAGTGAGGAGCTGTAGAGATATCCACTAGCTAAGGAAGAAGTGGTCAAATTGTTTGCTCAGAGAGTGAAGGGAGAAGCCAGTAAATAATGACTCCCAGTGGAACACTGTGAGCAGACTTGGGTTAGAAAGCCAAGGAAATTATAATGTGCAAAGCTCATTCTTATCAGAATAATGTGTTGCACAGGCATTCAAGAACAGCATGGAAATTGATGAGGCACTGGGACTAGGATATGTGACTATGGCAGAATTTGTCTCTTTGATGTGATGTTTTTTTGTCTGAATACAAACCTAAGACGCATACCAAATGCTCTAAGGAAAGTAGTGTTGGCTGTATCTCTACTTTCTTTTTTTTTCCCTTCTCTAGAACACTGGCTTTGATTAAACCTGATGCAGTGCCCAAGATTGGAGAAATAATTGATATAATTATTAATGCTGGATTCACAATAACTAAGGTCAAAATGATGATGCTTTCAAGGTAAGGATTTTTTAAGGTTAGCTCTATTGTATCTAAATACTTTTACAGTTGAGAATGTTCTCTAAAGCTATCCTGTATTGTTCCACACATCAGATTCATTCCAGTGAGTAATAGAGGTAAGACTCATCAGTTTTGTAATCATGTAGGTTTCTGAAAGCATGCAGAGATTTCAGCTAAGTATTAAAAAGTGCCGTGCAAATGAGTATGGGTGATGAAATGTCTCTGTATGAATCCAAGGTGACTACCATAGCTGTAGCAATTCAGCAGTGTTTGCTACTGGTATGTCTGTATGTCCTCAACTCATCACTTCCTCATACAAACCATATAGCTCATTATAAAAGCATAGTCTTTAAAGTATTTGGTTTTCTTGCTCTCAGTAAATTCATTGTTTAAACTTGTGCTCTCAGATTTGTGCTTTGTAATGACTGAAAGTCCTAGGTAAAGCAAGTGATCTTCTGATGCTGTTGCAGGATTTTGCTCATGCATCTTCCTAATCCCTCCAGCCTTCACTATTGTGCACTTACCTCATTGAGCCTCAGGATTTAAAAGAAAGCATGCTGCAGAGGAAAGAGAGCATAATTAATTTTCTTTAGAAGACTTTCCCAAAGTTGCTGCACTATTTCTCCATTGCTGCTTTGCCAAACCTGTTCATATGCAACATGCTTTGAAAAGAAAAGCTATTTGTCTTAAGTAGTACCATTTTTATGTGCTCTTATGGTTTATGTGTGAGGTTGGGGATAATTTTCCACTACCTCAAAACCTTTTTGGCTTTCTGAAATACTGATAAAACAACTATAAGACTTCCTCCTCTTGTCTCTCTCCATTCACCTGCTGCAGTGTTTTATGATACCAGTCCCATATCCTCCCTCAAACAACTCCAATTCATGAGTTCAGTCACATTTCTAATGCTGATTTACAGTTCACAATGTCTTTCAAACCAACTTTTTTTAACTTGCTCTCCTGCAGTCTGAGAGATATGATCCTGATGTGTTGTGTTGGGTTGTTCTTCATTTCAATGTCTGTCTGAGAAGTCAAACTGTTGAGCTATATCACATGTTTCAGAGTTGACTCACACTGGAGAAAAGAAACTTGAACTTTTATTGCCTATCGCTCTATAAAAATTTCTAGTTGCCTTTATAATTGAAAATAATTATTAATAAGCTGAACATTGGGCTATGATGCTGAATGTATTTAAATAATGTCTTGGGTATTTTGTGGTTTCTCTGCATACTATACACCTTGTTCCTTGGGACTGTGCCATTTTAAAATGAGAGAACTGTGGTTTTGCCAGTGTTCTACCCTTAGATTTCTGCAGATGTGCTTGTTCACATCAGCATCATCATTACTGCATTCTTTAAAGGGATTATTAATGACATTTGTCTGCCAGTCACTGTTAAGTCTATTATGCCCAGGTGACCACTGTTTTCCATTATTTAAAAGCAGAGAAGAAATAATGAAATTAAAAAGGAACAAAGTTATGCAGCACAACTGCACTTACATGTTATTTCAATACGAATTGTTAACTGAGTGGTAGAGCTCAGTTTGTTTCAGAAATAGGTCCCTCAAATTCTTCCTTGCGTTCATAAATGACAATACTTAATCAGTTTGCATTACCTTTTCCATATTTGCTTTCCAAAATTACTTGGTGAATTAGTTTCAGAAGAGGATTTTCAGGTGAAATAGTGAATTGTAGGCAAAATTGTTTTGCAGAGTGTAGGTTTGAAGCTTGGGATTGCAAGAGTTCCTGTGTCTAGCATAATTTTTGTACCAGGTTTCTGCCTTAGTTATGAAATGGAAGAAAAGCGTATTGACTGTATGATTAATGAAAATCTTTTGGATTTTGAATGGCTCATATTTACACTGAACTGAAAGCAACAAACCAGGAATTATTTGGGTTATTTTGGTAAAAAAAGCTGGAGGAGTAGCTGTTCAAACATTGATAAATGTTAGGAAAATTAAATTCTTCTTAGGCTCTTCTTGATATTATTTCCTCTGACAATATTTGGTTTAAGTCTGGACTGCAAATGACATCCAGAGTTCCATTTCAGATGACAGAACCATGCCTTTGTTCATACTTGGAATCTGTTATTTGAAAAATACGCAGGCAGTTTCTTTTAGTAAAGAGAGCTGCTCAAAGTGAGCAAAATCATCAAGACCAGAGTAAATCAGAAGACTGTTTTTGCAGGTAAAAACAATTTTCCAAAGCTCTGCTTTGATTGTGAACCTACTACCCAGAGGAGAGATCAGCAATATTGCTCCTTTCCCTATCAGTTCTCCTGAAGAGCTGTCCTCCTCCACAAATTCCAGCTTCAGAAAGTGGCATGCACCAGGATTTAGAGCAAGCCAACACTGACCCTGTGTTCTGAACTGGAATTTTGAAGCTGCAAAATAGCAGGTTTAGAGCTGAAAACCTCCATGGGTTTTTCTAGCTGTTGCCATGCAGAATAAGCAGTTCAGTGAGCAAGAGTTAAACGTGAGAAGCAGCTGAGGAAAAAGACAGGGAAGAGAGTAGGTTGGCTGGTTGCAGGGGATGGTGGGGTGGAAAGCTTCAAAATGGTATGCCTATTGGTGGATGGATGGTGGTTCCGCACCATGGTCCTCCAAACTTGTGTAGTTGGGTGGCTGAGCCCAGTGCAATGAAGGGCATTGTGCTGCCTATGTGACTTGTCAAATTTTAGGATACTGAATAGAAACCAGGTTATGCAATATGTTGTTGTGCACCAATGTAATCAGACTTGGCCTTCAACGAGGAAGTGTTCCAGTAAAGCAGATGAATAGTTACTTATGCTTTAAAACTAAACTTCCTTAACCAATATCCCCACTCAAACAGATGAAAGATGAAAACAACATAACAGCAAATGGTTTGGCAAGAAGGCAACTCTGCTGCATTTATTTCTCAACCTGAGAATGTGGGCACCATCAGTGACCCTGAAAGTCCATGCTGTGGGCTTCAGTAATTTGCTTCCTTCCCAGATCAGGAGCATAAGGAGTTGTCAGCCATACCTGTAGCTGCACAAAATATGACAGAAAGTTAAATGTAGTTTGTGTTATTGGACATGAACACCCAACAAGCTGTCCAGCTTCGACAAACATTATATGTAGAAACATTTTGATGAACGATAGTTTGTGGTTTTCAGGGAGTGTTTTACACATATGGGTATGTGTGTGTGTATATATATATATATGTAAAATCTTATCTAAATCTATGTCTTTTTACTTTTCCAGAAAAGAAGCATCTGATTTCTATGCAGACCATCAATCAAAACCTTTTTTTAAGTAGGTACATAAATTTCAGCTTGACATGTATTAAGCTTATTTATTGAATGCATAGGATTCATTGACCGTATTTGGTACTGCAGGACCATGGGAAAACCAGATCTTGTCTTAGTTGAGTGGAGCCCTTTGCAAAGTATGCACCCTTTTCATCTTCCTCCAGTGACAGATCCTTACTTCAGCTATGCAGGGTTTTAACTCACACTCTTTACAGCCTGATGATATCAGTGGAATGTCTTTTGTGTCTCACAAGTGAAAATGCTCCTAGCAAAGGTGAAACTTCAAAGCCAGGGAAGGAGCATCTTCAGGATCAGGGTGGAGCTTGCAGATAATGAGAATTAGGGGGAAAACTTCGCTCTAAGAATCGATTTGGTAGCAACTGCTCCAAAGCATAAGTAACTGAAAGGAGAGTGCATGGGGCAGTTTTTATTGTATGGCTACCCTTGGACAAAATGTCAAATTTATATGATGCTAGACTACTCCACCTAATGTGAAAAATCTGTCTTTCCATTACTGACCAATTGA